AACTTATTCAAAGTACCCAAGCAGCACCTTGGAGGGGCTGTCCAAGGTTGCAAAGCATTTTTCCCATTTTCTAGGACCCCTGAATGTGTCTTATATATTTGCACTAGTACTCTCAATCTCATTCTCTCTCCCTCTCCCTCTTGATTTTTTTAAATGTAAGACATTATAGAAAATTTTAAAATACATAAACCTGGACAATATCCAGGTTGGTACCTGCTACCAAAGTACAGCAGGTGCCAACCCTGGACATTAATCCCAGTACTCCTTTCCATCCCCTTCTGTTTGGTCTGGCAACTGTCAAAAAGTGAGGGGTCAAGCCAAATGCACAATTGATCTGTGCTCATGAAAAGGTATAATAGAATGCAAACCCTTTTTGTGGCAAGATCTGTTTTGTGTTTGCATTTGTGTTTGCTTTTGCTTTTCGTGGGAGGCTCTCTGCTCTTCTAAGGGTACTCTTCTCCTTGTTCCTGAGACTCTAGGGCATGGGTCCTTAAACTATGGCCCATGGGCCGGATCCAGCCTACCATGCCCATTTATCTGGCCTGCCATAGAGGTTTTGGACTTGCTGCACACGCGTGCGTGCATACACACATGGCAAGGTAACAGCTTGCTCATGCAGAGATCGTTTTGGACTTGCTTGGAGAAAAGGATCTCTGTGCAAGCAAGCCACCACCACCTCAAAGTGAGCGCGCCCAGCAATGGCTTGCTTGTGCGGAGATTGTTTTGGACTCACACAGAGAAAAGGATCTCTGCGCACGCATGCCCCCACCTCACCGTGCTGGGAAACTCCACCTGCAGGCTGTTGTGAGGTGGGGGCAGTGGGGCTTGGATTGTCAAGGACAGGGTGGCAGCAGGGCAGAGGGCAGGAGGCAGAGCAGGAGACTCAGCTCCCTGGGATGCTTGCCCTGGTGGCAAGGTCCTGGGCACCGTCCCTGGGCCATTCCAGCACAGGGCAGCAGCCAGGCAGATGGGCCACTCCTGGCTGCCCCTGCAATCACTGCTGCTGGAGGCACTCCCCCAGAATGTGTGCTCAGTCACGCTGCCTCACCAGGATGCCAGCCTTGCTCCCCTGCCAGGCCCATCCCGTGCCTAACTCATGAGTGGGAAGTGACAGAGAAGATGGGCAGGCAAGAGAAGTTATAGAATCACTTGCTGCAGTTAAATCACTCATCTGATGGAGTAATGTGAGGACAAAGAACACTTTTCTTGATGATTAAGAAGCTAACTAGTGGACCTTTCTAGACTCAATGCCCTTTGCAAAGATTCGGTCTTTTTTCTGAATACTAATCTATGCTACTGGAGCAAACAGTCATGGCAGAATATTCTTCTTGGAATAAGCTTACTGGGCATGGATAAAGCCTGCATACCAATAAGCAATTCTATGTGGCTGCACATGGGGTACCAGTATGAATTAAAATGCATTCACTGGAGAAGATAGGAAAGTTCTCTTCTGAACATCACCTTGAGGGATACATTTCTGCTGTGCTTGGAAAAGATGGAGATGATGCTGCAAAGCTGGAAAGACCTGGGATTACAGAGAAGGAGACTTGCAATGACAGGGATCCTAACAGAATTGGCAAAACCAGGTGTTTGTGCCAGGAAGAAACTATTCAAAGGGATTACCAGATCTGTGAGAAATGGGATTAAAGGTCCAAGGATGTGATGTCAATGAGAACACCAAAATACTGAATCTGGGAACTATATCTCAGATAGACTGAAGGCAAGTGCAATTCCTGTTTCTTTCACTCAGCCTTATTTAATTCTGCTTTTACTCATGCCTCCTTCTGTTCTGCCACAATGGGGTACTGATCAAGATCAGAGGGTTGCACATACATTTGTGTAATTGAAAACACAAAACAAGACTGCTTGTTACAACTTTACAATAATGTTTGCTATGGCTGCTACTTGTATTCAGAAAGTGCCATCATCTCATGAAAAAACAAGTTTCATCTTAAGCTATCTCATAATGCATACAGAAAACACTTGGCTATAAAAGGTGCCTGCCTGCCTGCCTGCCTGCCTGCCTGCCTGCCTTCCCTCCCTCCCTCCCCCTTTCCAGGGCTATAATTGCTTTTGGGAAGAAGTATTTTGTTTTTGTCTTGCATATGCTAAATGTGGATTTAGACTGCATGCATGAGATGGGAACAGAGTTTATATGAATCTGTTCCTTTCTGTGTGTTTATGTCTGTGCTCCATAATACCAGTTCAGTCTACAAACTAAAAACTGACATTATACATCTTTATCATATCACACACAATGGCACCATCCATCTCCATTCCTTTGTCCTGTGAAGAAAACATAGATTATGATGCTGTGCTAGCTGGAAAAGAGTGAACAGAAAGAAAGAAAGAAAGAAAGAAAGAAAGAAAGAAAGAAAGAAAGAAAGAAAAGAAAAGAAAAACAAGCAAAAGTTGTCAGCTAAAAACTTATAGCATAGCAAGAATAGCTAATATGAACATCAGGTTCATAGGTTTTCAAATGCACTATACATTGTAGCGCACTGAAGAAGAAGAAAATCCTAAATTTGTGGGAGGGATTGTCAGTTGGGGATGGGAGAGACATTTGTTTGGCTCATCTATCTAATTTTGCACTTTCAAACCAATAAGCGAACCAAAATTTACTTTCCCTTCAAAATTTGTAATTCTCTGCATGTTGCAACAGTAACATAGAAACAGAGTGAGTTAGAAGGGGCCTCCCGGGCCATCTAGTCTGACCTCTGGCTCCAGCCGGCTCCGCTCAGAACATGCCTACCAGGTGCATGTCCAGCCTGTCTTTGAACACCCTAACCAATGGGACCTCAACCACCTCCCGTGGAAGCCCATTCCATACCCTCGGGGTCCTAACAGTCAGGAAGTGCTTCCTGGCATCTTAATGGAACCTTGGTTCCCTGAGTTTTGCTCCATCAGAGCGTGTTCTGCCCTCCTCTGTGGGGGAGAACAGGTATCTACCCACCTCCATGTGACACCCACTCACAGATCTGTATGTCGCCAACACAACCCCTCTGGGTCTCCCCTTCCCCAGGCTGAAGAGAACCAGTTCCCTCAGTCTTGCCTCATACGGCATCCCCTGCAAACCGTGTGGCCCTATGCTGCAATGACTCTAACCTGGCTATATCCTTACTGTACCGAGGGGCCCAAAACTGAGCACAATACTCCAGTTGCGGGCACACCAGAGTCGTATAGAGTGGTAGTAATACCTCTTTCGATCTAGAAGCCACACTTCCAGCTATGCAACCAAGGGTGGCGTTCGCCCTCTTGACCACCGCATCACACTGCTGACTCATGTTTAGCCTGCAGTCAACCAGCACCCCAAGGTCTCTTTCACAAGTGCTGCTCTCCAGCCACTTGTCACCTAACCTGTACTTATGACAGCTATTCCTATGCCCCAAGTGCAAGACCTTGCACTTATCCACATTGAACACCATCCTGTTGTCTCCTGCCCACTTCCATAGTCTGTCCAGATCCTTTTGGATCTGGAGTACCTGCTCCTCAGTTGTGGCCACTGCTTCAGTTTTAGTATCATCTGCAAATTTGATCAGCAGACTGTTCACCCTTCTTCCATGTCATTTATGAAAAGATTAAACAGGATTGGCCCCAGGACAGAGCCCTGGGGGACCCCGCTTGTCACTGGCCACCATCCCAATGATTCCCCACTAATGGTTATCCTCTGCTTTCGGTCAGTCAACCATGCCCTAATCTATTGGACAGTGCTTTGGTGTATCCCAAAGCTCCTCAAAGTTGGCCCTCTTGAAGTCCCAGCTTCTAGTGCTCGACTTGCTGCACGTCCCCAGTCCCCTGATCTCAAAGCAAAAGATGGAGTGATCACTCGCATCCAGAGCTCCCCTAATCTGTACTTCATCTATCAGCTCCTCTCTATTGGTCAAGACCAAGTCAAGGATGTCGTTGTCTCCCCCTCGTTGTCTCTCGTACCCTTTGTGTGAAAAACCCTCCCTCTAGCTTCTAGGAAGTGACATGACCTGGCTGTCACCGCTGAGTGAGTCTCCCAACTAATCTCTGGGAGATTGAAATCTCCCATAATTACTGTATCTCACCCCCAAGATATCCTTGGAATCTGGTCTGTCAGGTCATCATCCAGGGTCTCAAGTTGACCTGGAGGGCAATAACATACCCCCACTGTCAGGTCTCTTTCCCTGTCAAAACACCTAATTTTCACCCAGACTGCCTCTACCGAATCCCCATCTGTGCTACATTCTATCTCACTGCATCCTTTCCCTTCCCTGACATATAAAGACATGCCCCCACCCCTCTTTCCCTTCCTGTCCTTTATAAAATGGTGATACCTATATATGTTCACATTCCAGCCTTGCCTTTTATCCCATCTAGTTTCTGTGATTCCCACCAGGTCATACCCTCTTATTCCCAGGAGAGCTTCAAGCTCTTCCTGCTTATTACCCATGCTCCTAGCATTAGTCTACATGGACCTCAACTACTTCCCACCGCTTCCTTTCTTTGGAGTCCCCAGCCTCCTCCTCCCTCCCATCCTCCCCGATACCTGGCCCCTCTCTGTCCCTGCAGTACCTCAAAAACCCTTCTCCCAGAGCCCTGATCCTCTCCCCCAGTTGTCCAGTGCAGACACGTTTCTGGAGGGCCTGAACCACCCCCCCCCCCCCCCCCCCCCCAGTTTAAAGTCCTCCATACGAAGCTCACTAGAGCATCTACAACGGACCTTTCCCCCATCCTCGTGAGGTACAACCTGTTCCTTTCTGGAAGTCCAATGGCAAGAAACCAGGTGCCGTGGTCAAGGAACCCGAAGCGTTCCTTCAGGCACCACACCCTAAGCCAGTCAGTCAACTTGGCGACCCTCCTGTCCCTGCCTGACCCAAATCCCCGGACTGGTAGGATCAATGAAAAGGCCGATTGGGCCTTCAGCTCCCTGAGTTTCTTCCCCAAGGCCTCAAAGTCCCTGGTGATCCCGACCACACCCTGCCTGGCCATGTTGTTTGTGCCCACATGGATCACCAGAAGTGGCTGGTGACCCCCGGAGCGAACAAGATGCTCCACTCTGTCCTTCACATGCCAGATGCATGCAACTGGCAGGCAGCAAACCTCCCTCATGTCAAGGTTGGGGTGGCACACTGCTGCCTCAGTGCCCCTCAGCAGAGAGTCCCCAACGACAATCACCTGCCACTGTGTCTTCCTGGTGGTGGTGGACGGCTGTGCCCTGGCCCTCGCCTCTCCTGCAGCGGCCGCCTTGCCCCTTGTGGCCCCAGGCTGGGGGTCCTGCTGGTCCCCCAATGTCTCATCAGCCCCAGCCTCCCCAAACAGGGAGAACCTGTTTCCCAGCTCCAGATTGGTGCCAGGAGGAGGAGGCCGTGCTGCAATACAAAAGTAAAACCTACATATTAGGGATAACTGCACATAAATATGTGTATTTTAGAAAGGTTGTTTCAAAATGCATTGGGTTAGGATGAGGCTTTCAAAAAGTATATGTTAGGCAAACTAATATTCAGAACCACATGCATTACAGAAATGCACAAAAATGCATGCAAATATTGATGCAAACTTCAGAAAGGATTCTCGAAGTTCAGAATGAACTCCATTATCAGCCACTTCATGTACCCTTAATAACCCACAAGTCAGCTCTTGACATCTTGTCTCCCTGTTCCAGTGTTCTGTTGTGCTACAATATGGCCAAAACACGGAATCCAGGATGTGGGTGGACAGAGGTAGGCTTTTCTCTCCATGACTGGGATCTCCAGGGTGAAGAACCATGATAAGCCAACAACTTAATTGTATACCTAATGATATCTCTTTTACTGATGCATCTCTGTATTTTCTCCCATGTAAGTCATATACTCATGTGGCTAAAAGTAAAGGGTTGCACTACATATGCATTTATTTTGAGTATTTTTATCCAGCTCCTCAACCTAAAAGTCTCCCAGAATGGCTTATACATATTCAGTAAAAAATAGACAATCCTTGCCTGCAGGCTTGCAATCTAAAACAACATAAAGCACAAGGGAAAATGAATGGGTGGTGAAGAGGAAACAAACAGTTCTTCAGCAGGGATGGTGGAATGGCCCTGCTTCATGGTCATCCCTCCCCTGCAGGAATGGCTGATGGCGGTAACAGTGGAGGGAAGAGAGGCTTTCATGAGATAGATCTTATTTTTATATCTATTATTTTACATCACACCTATTTTCCTTCCAAGGAATTCCGAGTGGCTTACATAATCCCCTTCCTCCTCTCAATCCTACCCTCACAGCAGCCCTGTGATGTAGGTTGGGTTGAGAGTCTGTGACTGGCCCAAAGTCTCCCAGTGCATTCCATGGCCAAGTGTGGACTAGAACTCAGATCACCTGTGTCCCAGTTCCATGCTCTTAACCGGGACACCACAATGGCTGTCAAGCAGGACTAGTGGAAAGGCCAGCCTTCCTCTCACATCCCCAAGTATGGAATGGCTGCTAGTGGCAGCTGAGGGAGAAGACTTCAAGGGGCCGATCTCCATGGCTGGTGGAACGGGCTCATTTCAGATCTCCTCACCCCCATGCAGATTGCTGGAATGGCCAGTGATATTCCCTGTTGGAGTGGAAGGAGCCTTCATGAGGGCCCCATCAGCAGGACTGAAGGAATGGACCTGCTCCCTTTCTCACCTCCCTCAGCCCGCTGGAATGGCTGCTGCTGCTGCTGAGAGCGGGAGGAGGAGGAGCTGTCATGGGGTGTCCCCACTGTGGTGAGGAAGAAAGCAGTCTGCTCTTTCCCCTTCTGGCACCACTAGCTACCTAGCTGGAACTGACACATTTAGCAGTGAGGCACAGTGACCCACCTTCTTCCCTTCAGAAGGACTTGCAATGCACATGCCCACCCTGCTCTCTCTCTCACACACACACCCCACCACCACTATCACCCATCATAATGACAGGCATTTTGCTAGTTTCTAGTAAACCAACAGCTCTGCACAATAGTCAGCTCATTAATCTAATCTCTTCCCTCCCTTCCCATCAAGAGCACAATGAAGGGGAAATGCAGCTAAACAAAGGCTCCATGTTTTCAGTGAATTCTGTCCTGAGATTCCAAACACTTTGTGCCAAATCTTGCTTACCATAATTGCATGAATAGCTGCATTGAAACTAATAGGAGTGGTGGCATTGTGGTTTTGTGTGGGTCAAACCCCTTTGAGAATTGAATTATTTTCTATGTTTCAGCACTTCCCAGGCGACAGTGCCATGGCTGAAAAGGTATGAGGGACTCACAGCAAAACAGAAAAATGTAGTTGACTTCATATAAAATCGATGAGGCAGAGAAGCATAGATGCAAGAAACAGGAGGTTTTATTGCTTTCATTATCTTTGAGCAAATTCACCCAAGCTTAGAAGTCTGATGTTTGTTTTTCTTTTTTCAAAATTAAAATAAAAACTAAGCAAAAGCACTTTCCCTACAATATTGCAGAAAGTTAATCTGAGAAAGAACATCACATCGATTCCTAACACCACCATGTCCCTTCCTAATATTGTGAAACCCACCAGGAAATTGTGTGTGATATAATGGATACATACATGTCTAATTAAGAAAACTTGGCAATCATTTTAAGAGATGGCAACATATGCCTCTGACATACCAAAACTATAGCTATTTAAAACTATCTCATGTTTAGTGTCCCCTTCTATATGGGTGACAGAACATTTCTCCACAAGTGCTTTCTGCTGCATACACCTGTTCACAAAAAGGGAAAAGGTTAAAATGAGGGGACCTGCCCTCTCTCTCAGGGCCTTTGGGACAATGAATGCTGAGCTGTAGATAAAAGCAGCCCTTTCTCCACCTTCTCCATAGAACTGAGTTGACAGCATCTCCACCCACATGAGGAAAGCAAGGGAAATGAAAATGAGAGAATTATGGAAGGAAGAATTATATTCCCTCTTAGGGACTTCTCAATCAGTTGGAAGTTCCTTGAATTCTGTTGCCTGAGGATGCTAACCTGTGCTGCCTATTGAGCTGGATGTGCAGTTATTCTAAGAAACTGTAAACCTTTTCTAAATATCTAAGTAATCCATTAAACACGGTTCAAGGAGGCCTCTTCTCCTGCTATCATCCTTTGAACTGTTTCTATGGAATGTTCTCTATATTCAGGAAATTTTGCAGGTTGCCAAACTGTCAGCTAATGCTGTAATGAATGGTTCTAATTACATTCAAGTAGCAGAGAGCGTTGCCATTTTAATCAAATCTGATCCTTGCAAGCTATTTGGCAGGAGCACAAGAGAAGGCCAGAAGGAAGTACTGCCAAACTGTGAGTAACCTTTTTATTCTAAATTCTGCCTGTCGACAGACTGGATACTCAACTGCTTAGAGAAGGGTTGGTTTTGTTTTTGAAGTAGCTTTATGGCTTTGCCACAAATTATACATGGGTCAAACAATTTCAGGCATCACAGCACTATTCAAAGCACAAGTCCATTCTATAGGTATCATCCTTCTTAGCAAAGGCCTATTTGGCCAGAATTCAAATTCAGCTTACATCCCCATATGTTTTCTTTTCCATGGGCATTTCTCTATCTGACAGGCTATCAGAGGACTGTCCTCTATTCTGAAGGTGTCCACTCTTCAAGGGGCTGTCCAGTTGAAGAATCCATCAGAGTCAAAGAACCATCAGAAGGAAGAGGTGGACCTTGAAGTTGCCTAGCAAAATAGGAGACTGAAGCTAGTCACAGTTTTCTACATTATGGTGAAATGTACTTAAGTTCTATCTAAACTATATTAATGATTTCTGAATGTGCGTCTAGATATACGAAAAAGCATGTGTACATTTTATGGTAATTGGTATACTCTTTTGTACTCTTTCTTGGCAATTCATAACAAGCCACTCTAGGTCAGGGCAGAAGGTAGATTTCCAGATGTTTTGGGCTTCAGTTTCCAGCATTCCTGACCATTGGCCATGCTGAGAGTTCTAAACATCTGGTGATCTACCATATGCCTTTCCCATCTCTAGCTACCATGTTACAGAGCTGATTGTCCTGACTTGTGCCCCACCACATGAAATGACACCAACTACTGATGGATGGTAGCCCAGGAAGGGCTGCTTTTGCTGCCAATTGCCATAGCATCAGCTCATTCTGCTGGATCATTTGTGTAAGCAGAAGAGAGCCATAATTTTCTTACTGAGCCTTGCCCTCCACTGAGTGGCTGGCTAGTTACTTCTGAAAGTTTACAGGAGGGGAATGAAGATAACAGCTGTTTTGTTTCAAGAATCAGATAATTGTTATGCTGTACCAGTATTTCCCCTGCCAGGCAAATAGCAGGCAAGTCGGAGAAGCAGGGCAAAGGAAATTTGGACCAAGAAAACAAATTTAACCTGAACAATTGTGCTGAGCTGCCCTGGAACTGCCTATGGAGATCTACTCACAGATCTCCCACTATCTCACCTAGCTTGACCCTCAGATGACCAGCTATTACTGCAACTTGTGAAAGTGAATTCTGTTCAGTTCATTAACAATGTATTCATAAGCTGCCTGCCACATTCATCCTTGGTTTTTAACCAACTATGTCATCTTTATTCAAACTCGGGACAATTTTGAAAATCTAAATGTTGCATGGAGGCCTTTTCAGAAGGAAGCTAGGATCAGAAATAGCCCACAACTTGGAATGCCCAGAAGTTCCAAATGGTGCTGCTCACCAATGAAAAGCATGTAACGATAGACAGCATCAGTGACAATTTGCTCCTCTTCCCTCCAAAGTTGTCCATTTGAGGTGGGCTGCTTTGGTGATGGGCCTTGGCTAGGCAGATAGCCCAGAGTACCAGTGACAGAGCTAGACATGTTGTCCTAGCTCTGCAGGAATATCTCTGAAGCTCATTGTTGTTTCATCACTGGCCATTGCAACAGAACAAAGTGATGATGGAGTTCATAGAGCCCTGAAGTCGTGGAATGCACTGTGCCATTCCAGACTGCAGATTATATTTTTAATGCCTCCTCTTTGAAAGCAACCCCAAAACAAATAGAGGAGGAAGTGTGTTGTGCTAGAACATTTCTTCCTGAAGTGCCAACTTTCTTTTTACATGGGGTCCTGAAGGTCCTGCTGGGCTCACTGGTATAGATTTCCTTCTCCATCCTCACTTGTGAAAGCTGTGAATGGCAGCACTGGACACTGATGTCCTGGTGAGTCACTGCCCACTCCCTGGCCAGCTTGAAGGGAAGAAGAGGAGCACTTGTGGCAGCTGGGAGGCAGAGGTTGCTGCAAAGGCCCCCATGGAACATGGCAGAAGCCAGGCCAGAAGGAGGGAGGAAACAGGAGGTGAAAGGAGGAAGACTGAAAATGATGGTAGGCATGTTCAGGCACCTGCCAAGGACCGACGCCCTAGCAGGAATCCACTGACAAAAGTCCCTGGAATTTGCTCCTCTTCCTCATCACAGACTGCTTGTTAGTCTGACAAAGACAGCAGTGTGATTAGAAGGAGGAGCTGTAGATGCCACGTGTCCAGGTTCTCCCTACGTCAAGCAAGCAAGTGGTGGTGATGGTGAGGAGGCAGATGAGCAAAAGCACGTGGTGGCCATGGTGGGCGAAGGCAGACTCCAGAGCTGGAACTGGAAAATGCATGAGGCAAAGAGAGAAAAGCAAAAGGAGGACAGCAAGGAAGAGAAGGACAGGAAAGGAAAGGACTCAAGGCAGATGTGAGGCTGGATTAATGGATGACACACACAGGACCCCTCCTGTAGTGAAGAATATGGCTTTGTACCTGCATTGCATATAGTTCATAAACCAATCAAGAACACCCCATCCCTAAGTTGCTTGGTATAATGTGAGAACCAACAACTCTGGATTGTTGGGATGAAACCAACACAGATGTAACTCAACAACGATTTTTGTTGAGCTGAACAAGTTGCAGGGTTGCATTACATGTTTACCAACACTATTAATTAGCAGTATATTTCCTATACATCTTGTTGTTGTTGTTAGTTGCAAAGTCGTGTCTGACCCATCGCGACCCCATGGACAACATTTCTCCAGGCCTTCCTGTCCTCCATCATCCACCAGAGTTCACTCAAGCTCAGACCAACTGCTTCAGTGACTCCGTTTAGCCACCTCATCCTCTGCCGTCCCCTTCTTCTTTTGCCATCTATTGTTCCCAGCCTTAGACTCTTCTCCAGGGAGTCCTTCCTTCTCATTAGGTGGCCAAAGTATTTGAGTTTCATCTTCAGGATCTGGCCTTCTAAAGAGCAGTCAGGGTTGATCTCCTCTAGGACTGACTGGTTTGATCCCCTTGCAGTCCAAGGGACTCGCAGGAGTCCCTGCCAGCACCACAATTCAAAGGCCTCAATTCTTCGGAGCTCAGCCTCCCTTATGGTCCAACTTTCACACCCATACATTGTAACTGGGAAAACCATAGCCTTGACTATACGCACTTTTGTTGGCAGGGTGATGTCTTTGGTTTTCTTATGCTGTCTAGATTTGCCATAGCTTTCCTCCCCAGGAGCAAGTGTCTATTAATTTCTTGGCTGCAGTCCCCATCTGCGGTGATCTTGGAGCCCAGGAAAATAAAATCGATCACTACCTCCATTTCTTCCCCATCTATTTGCCAGGAAGTGAGAGGACTAGATGCCATGATCTTAGTTTTCTTAATGTTGAGTTTCAAGCCAACTTTTGTGCTCTCCTCCTTCACCCGCATCAAGAGGCTCTTTAGTTCCTCTTCACTTTCTGCCATTAGAGTGGTATCATTTGCATGTCTGAGGTTGTTGATATTTCACCCAGCAATCTTAATTCAAACTGGTGATTCATCTAGCCCCACCTTTCTCATGATGTGCTCTGCATATAAGTTAAATAGGCAGGGTGACAGTATAAAGCCTTGCCAAACTCCTTTCTCAATTTTGAACCACTCAGTGGTTCCATGCCCAGTTCTCACTGTTGCTTCTTGACCCACATATAGGTTTCTCAAGAGACAAATAAGATGGTCAGGTACTCCCATCTCTTTAAGAACTTGCCACAATTTGTTGTGATCCACACAATCAAAGGCTTTAGCATAGTCAATGAAGCAGAAGTAGATGTTTTTCTGGAACTCCCTAGCTTTCTCCATGATCCAGCGTATATTGGCAATTTGATCTCTAGTTCCTCTCCCTCTTCCAAATCCTGCCTGTACTTCTGGTAGTTCTCAGTCCACACACTGCTGGAGCCTAGCTTGTAGGATTCTGAGCATAACTTTGCTAGCATGTGAAATGAGTGCAATGGTGCGGTAGTTTGAACATTCTTTGGCATTGCCCTTCTTTGGGATTGGAATGTAAACTGACCTTTTCCAATCCTGTGGCCACTGTTGAGTTTTCCAAATTTGCTGGCATATTAAGTGTAGCACTTTTACTGAATCATCTTTAAAGATTTTGAATAGCTCAGCTGGAATACTGTCACCTCCACTAGCTTTGTTGTTGCTCAGACTTCCTAAGGCCCATTTGACTTCACATTCCAGGATGTCTGGCTCGAGGTCAGTGACCAGCCCATTGTGGTTATCAGGGATGTTAAGCTCTTTCTTGTATAGTTCCTCTGTGAAATCTTGCCATCTCTTTTTAATCTCATCTGCCTCTGTTAGGTCCCTGCCATTTTGGTCCTTTATCATGCCCATCTTTGCCTGAAACATTCCCTTCATATCTGCAATTTTCTTGAAGAGAGCTCTGGTCCTCCCTATTCTATTGTTTTCTTCTATTTCTTTGCACTGTTCATTTAAGAAGGCGTTCTTATCTCTTCTAGCTATTCTCTGGAATTCTTCATTCAATAGGGTGTATCTTTCTCTTTCTCCCTTGCCTTTCGCTTCCCTTCTTTCCTCAGCTATTTGCAAAGCTTCCTCAGACAGCCATTTTGCTTTCTTGCACTTCTTTTTCTTTGGGATGGTTTGAGTTGCTACCTCTTGTACATTGTTGTGAACCTCCGTCCGTAGTTCTTCAGGCACTCTGTCTATCAGATCTAATTCCTTAAATCTATTTGTCACCTCTACTGTATATTCATCCGGGATATGATTTAGGTCATACCTGAGCGGTCTAGTGCTTTTCCCTACTTTCTTCAATTTAAGCCTAAATTTTGCAACAAGAAGCTCATGATCTGAGCCACAGTCAACTCCTGTTCTAGTTTTTACTGACCGTATAGAGCTTCTCCATCTTTCGCTGCAGAGCACATAGTCAATCTGATTTCTGTGTTGACTGTCTGGTGATGTCCATGTCATCCCTTGGGTTGTTGGAAAAGAGTGTTTGCTATGACCATTGTATTCTCTTGACAAAATTCTACCAGGCTGTGCCCTGCTTCATTTTGTACTCCAAGGCCAAACTTGCCTGTTATTCCAGTTATCTTTTGGCTTCCTACTTTAGCATTCCAATCCCCCATGATGATAAGGACATCATTTTGGGGTGTTAATTCTAGAAGGTGTTGTAGCCCTTCATAGAACCGGTCAACTTCAGCCTTTTCAGCAGCAGAGGTTAAGGCATAAACTTGGACTACTGTGATGTGGAATGGTTTGCCTTGGATTCAAACTGAGATCATTCTGTCATTTTGAAGATTGTGTCCCAGTACTGCTTTTCCTACTCTTTTATTGACTATGAAGGCTACTCCATTTCTTCTGTGGGATTCTTGCCCACAGTAGTATACCTGATGATCAGCTGAATTAAATTCACCCATTCCTGTCCATTTTAATCCACTGATTCCTAAGATGTCGATGTTCAGTCTTGTCATCTCTTGTTTGACCACATCCAGCTTGCCTTGATTCATGGATCCTACATTCCAGGTTCCTATGGAGTATAGATCTTTGCAGCAGCGGACTTTCCTTTCACCACCAGATACATCTGTTACTGAGTGTCCTTTCGGCTTTGACCCAATCACTTCATTCTTTCTTGCGCTACTAGTACTAGCCCTCCGCTCTTCCTCAGTAGCATATTGGACACCTTCCTACCTGAGGGGCTCATCTTCCGGCATCATATATTTTTGCCTTTTGGTACTGTCCATGGGGTTTTCATGGCAAAGATACTGGAGTGGGTTGCCATTTCCTTCTCCAGTGGATCACGTTGTCAGAGCAATCTGCTATGACCTGTCCGTCTTGGGTGCCCCTGCATGGCATCGCTCATAGCTTCATTGAACTATGCAAGCCCCTTCACCATGACAAGGCAGTGATCCATGAAGGAGCCTATACATCTACTGTGTCTTATATGAAATGGGGTTGCTGTTTTTTCTGGCAGTTTCTTAGTAGTCTAGAAAGGGTAACTTAATTAGCAACTTGAGCAAAAACTGTAGGTTTCCTTTTTCTGTAATAATTTTTTTAAAAGATGCACATGTTTATTCTGTCCAAATTTTTATATTACTTCTGAAGTTGAGAAGTTTTGACTAGCAATTTGCCAGTAAAACACAACAGAAATAATGAAATCACCACTGCATATACAAAAATAAATCCACACATACTTATTTACTTAACAGTCAACAACAAATTTTTGACAACATGTTGACATCCATCTGTGAGAATCTTTCCCCAAAATACAGGTTACTTTCTCTGTGTGTGCATACACACATGCATTTACAGAAATCACACACACACCTTGAAAATATTGAATTCTACAAAATGTTTATATACAAACAACATATTAATATGTATAATATATAAACTATATCACAGCAAATTAGGAGCAACTTCACAGCTGACAAATATCTAATTTAAAGACAGCAGTTTGATAAAATAAGATTGAGTTGCACATGTCAAATATAAATTCTTCAAACTACCAGTGCAGTTGCCAATTATTAGGGTGTGTGTGTGTGTGTGTGGTACTGTTTGCTGTTAACTTACAGTGAATGGCTTTCAACACAAATTAGCAAAGCACACCTGAACCAGATGTAACATGCTACGCTGAAGATGCCTGTGGAGCCCTTTACAATGCAAGGAATGCAGTGGTGTGGGTGCACCTTATCGATGACTTGGTCCTATGCCGTAACAATATTTGAAGTCTAGATGATCTAGATAGGGACAATTGAATGGTTCTTCCCACCCAGTCTCCCCCAGCTGGCTATACCTGGATGGAAAGAAACTGTAGTTCTGATTTCCTAGGTCCCATGAAATAATGAATCAGAAGAACAGCCACGTGTCCTCTTTAACAAAGGACAGCCCTCTGTTTGAAGAGCTGTCAGAGGACTGTTCAATTCCAGTTTAAAGATTTTCTTAAAAAGATTATTTAAAAACTCTGTTAGAATTGTTGACTATTAACATTTAGTGCTTGAATAGCTGAGTAAACAGGCACACAGACAGTACTGTATTCCTCTTTAAATTATAATCATTCTTTCTAAATTTGCATCTTTATATGAAAATTAACACATACGATTTTTCTTCAAATATATATCCTATATGGGGGGGGGGGGTCAAACCAGAAGTCGCTACCCTATCATGAAACAAAGCTATGGAACAGTATCTCATGCTGATCATTGTGATAACCAAGAATAAGATTAGATTTATTTGCTCACAGTGACTTGCAAACAGCATCAGAAGTAACACAAATAAAAGTTTCATCTAAATAAAATCATTTTCAGAAGCTAGTCCATGCATTAAGAGAGAGAGAAGGGGAGAGAGAAATTCCTGAGGGGCTGGATAGCAAAGAGCTGCTATCAGATGACATGCTAATTGCCTTCAGCCAAACATTTTCATATAATAGGCAGTAAAACTGAGCAACTTCCCAACTAGGAATCTTGGCAGAATCTGCAACAGCTTCAAGAGGATTCAGACTTCTGTGAATACAGCCTAAATGTACAAACATTCCCTGGGCAAGGATCGATCTGTCTCCAAGCAAGCATGCCAGCACCTTGACTTCATTCATGCATCATCTGCTGTAACTCACCTGTACACAAGTGTGACTACAAAGCCAACAATGTGGGAAGAGAAAGGTCAATTTTGAATTGACAATGCAGAAGTGACAACCTAACCAAAGCAGACAGCCTAATTCTGAAGTACGTAATGTTGATCTCTATGGAAAGATCTCAGTAAATAGGGAATGTTTCAAATACACACGCGCGCACACCACCATTATTAATACCAAAGATGATTCCTTAAGAGGACAAGTTTCAAAATATATAGGATGATTCAGTTTCAGATTCTAAGAACTAGTGCTGTATTTACACACACACACACACACACTTTTAGTAGTAGCCCTAAAGAGTTAAGAGGAATGCTTTCTGCTTGCTTTTCAGAGCAAACAATCTTAGAATGCAATCCTATCACCTCACAACATTGTGGATGGAGGGGTGGGACATAGGATTATTTGGAGGCCCAGCTCTTACAGTCCTGCAGCAGAGTTTCCAAAGACTTGCATGCACATGCCCACACAAACAGAACTGGGATGGGACTCGGAGCCAACAAATGGGGCTTCCAGGGGCTGGAGAGGGAAAGAGGATGGGGCTGTGCACTTAGGCCAATTCCCAGCAAGCATTCCAGCCTCTCTCCTTCCCCCTTCCTGGTGCTTTATGAAGGTGTCAGACATGGCTGTCTAGGTAAAAACCAGCACACAAGCCACAGCTGTAGCATAGGTCACCTCTGCTACACCTCTTTCAGGTAACAGGATGCCTAGATGCTTCCAAGTTCTGAGGTTCGCAGGCATCACAGTGGGGAATTAGAATCCAATCCTCATTCTTCTTGACTGTTTCTGGCCTTCACTGTTTACAACAGCCAGTTCTTAATAAATATGATGCTTTCAAAGTACTTATTTCACAGCAAACAAGATGCAAATATGGGAAAGAATTTGCATTTGGACATCAGTTGGTAGCAGTTTACATCGTGGTATTCTGTCAAAAAATATACGAGATTGTTTACCACATTCTCTCCCATCATGTCTGAGTATATATTGTCTTGAATATCTGGAGAAAGGGTGACTCAGACATTTGAAAAATTAATTTACCTTGTGCTCTCAGGTGGCATTTTCTCTCTTCCCCTCCTTCACTGAGCACTAGCCATTACTGAAGAGAAAGACCAGTGTGAACTGCCTGCATAGGGCTGTAGCTCAGATGCAGCAAACCTGCTTTGCATGCTCAATGCCCCAGCTTCAATCCCCAGCATCTCCAGCAGGGCTAGGAAAAATCCAGCCTGAAACCCTGAGAGCTGCTACCAGTCAGAGCCAACAAGCTGGTCTAGATGGATCCAAGGTGTGACACAGTATGAAGTAGCTTCCTATGTTCAAAGTACCCACAATTTCCTCTCTTGTCCCACTGCTATCACAACCCAGCAAGGCCTGGGCATGATGTTGGCCACCCATTCCTGTAAGGTTGCATCTGAACCTGCTCAGACAATGGGTGCAACCCTCAACATTCAAGGTTGCAGGTCCCATGCCTTCTTTCCTCCACCTTCACAGAGATGCCATCTTTTGAGAGAGGTCAAGCAACTCATGTAGGGTGGTTCCACGTAGTACTTTATGCAAACAGTGCAACCATGCAAGATGGCAGTTAATCACTACATTTTAATGGGTTTACCCGTTACATCAATGTTTTATTTAAAAAGCCAAAACCCTAAAGGAAAGTCAAGGATTTCTGAAGTTTTTTAAGCCTCCAATTCCACATGCACTTACCTGGGAGTAAGTAGCATTGATGTCAGGGGAACTTATCTTGTACAAAGCACAGTATGGATGTACTAAAAGAGGAGCAATATTCTGTTTGTTGTTATTAATGAATTACAATAATATTCCAAATGATATTTATTATCACTCAATGCTTCTAAATAATTCACATTTTATGAATGTTTTACAGCACTGATTTTATATTTAAGTTGGACTGAATTGAGATATACTGCTCAAAATAAGGAAATATACAATTCTACACAGAAGAAAAAAAAGGCATTGCACCATTGTCACATCTATCTTTAATTCCTTCTCATCCCAGTTATGGGAGATTCCCATTACATACATTTAGCTGAGCAGGGATTGTTGGTTTGTTGTTGTTTTTTCCAAGTGCAGGGAGCTCTTGATTTAAATAAAATCTGCATCTTACATTTTATACCATTAGTCTGTTACTGACTGTCAGGGACAGGGGAAAGTGAACTTAATAAAAATGAAACATGTAAGCTAAAGTGTTCTTGTTTTTCTGGTGTGCTAAGGCATGTGAATCTTCTGCAATATAAAAACGGGGTACCAGATGTTAAAAAGCACTGGTCTTTTTTTAAGTGTTCCTTTTACTGCAGGCAACCTAAAAATATTAAATGAGTAGGGTTATATTTAGCATTGTTGAGATGTTGTTGCCATGTTGGCCCCAAAGATGAGACAATTCTTGAGCTTCTGTGCCTGCCTTCCCCAACCTGGTGCCTTTGAGATGTGTTGAACTACAACTACTACTACTGCCATCCCCAGATATGCTGGGTAGGGATGATGGGGGTTGCAGTCCAAGACATCTGGAGGAAACCCATTTGGGAAAAGTGGGTTAGTGATGTCTTGTTGTCTCCACAGGTGGAAAGCCACTTGTTGCTGCTACTCACCTAATTTACTCAGTTCGCGAAATGGCATCTGATTCAATCAGCATCTGTTATGGCCAAGCAGACACCATGAAGGGTGTATAGCTGGCCCTAATAGCAACATCTCCTCCCTGTAGGCTGGCAAATGCTCTGCTTTACAGAGAACAGTCCTTTATTTGAAAGTGTGCTCAATGCAAAGGGCTGCCCCATTCAAGTCCAGTTTAAAAATGTGGAACCATAAGAAAGGTGAACAAGTGGCCCGAAAGTTGCCCATCAAGAATAAGCACCTGAACAAGTGACTGAGCAGCAGACACTCAGGGTCATCCCCATCCAGCCAAGATATATTGTATTTCAATATAAACTATACCAATTGGTTCTACGTTCACGTTTATTCATCGGAATTAGCATGTATATATCTTAGAGTACTTGATACCCTCTTCTTCCTCTTATTGGGCAATGTGTCTCCTATTTTCTGTTGAAACAGAAGAGGCCACTCTGTCCTTCTGATGACATCTAGCCAAAGAAGATGTTCTTGCACTATAAATTTCCACTGCAACCAGAGTAATGAGCGGAGAGGAGGGTGGGGAAACCCTGAGCATGATGACATCACATCTCACAGGTTCTTTTGACAGATGTCACTGGGCAGCAGGGAGTAGGCCAAGACCATCAAAGGTCCTGTTTGGCCCTCTGTGCTGTCTTCAGGGAAGGGCTGATGGACTTCTGAACTGTGTGGTTGTCCACAGATGTCACAGATCTGTGATGTTTTCAGCAGCCACATACTGCTGCCAAACTGACCCAATGACTTAGCAGTGCTCAGCTAATCTTATCACCTCTGCTGATAACAGAGCTGCTGCAGTCTATGCCTCCAATGTGTTAAGATCCCTTGCTTTACATTCCACAGTTTCTTGGACAAGGGAATGGTATACCCAATATGCCAGCTTTGTTAGAAAAAAGCATTTTGCGAACACAGCCATTGCCAAATGCACCTTGCATCTGGCTATAATTTCAGCTACACCTGCTAAGTCATGAGGCAGCAGCCAGGCAAGATTCCTTCCTGATCCAACTCTTTAACAGCAGCTTCAACAACTGGTGACTTAAAGAAGCCTTTTGGTAGTTTGAAGAGAAACAGCAGAAGCACAGGGTTCTTCTTGCTTCTGCTAAGTCTAAAAGAAAGCCTTGTGAAGATCCAGAAAAGGAAATTGTAGTCCATCAATCTATTTCTCTGATGCTTTTCCCCCATTAGGTTGTGTTCAAAGCAGTTCACAAAATGTGCACACTGTAATACCACAACAAACGTAATAGTTTAAAATGTACAATATCATTGATTTATTTAGCACATCTGCAACACACCTAAGGAGCTCCAAGTGGCATTCATCAGACAGGCTTCAGTCCTGCAGCATTTATCTTGTTTTATCTTGGAAATCTACCAAGTAAAGCATGTGCAAAAGTCATATATTTTGCATGAAAAATTCTGAGCCTGAGAATATGCCCTGTGTACTAAACTGAATAGAGCTCATACTTCTTCCATGCAAAAGTCTACTCCTGGTTTTCTCTCCTCAATCAAAATATAGCAAATAAATTACAATGCTTACCTTACTGAGTTTCAGCAATTCCCCCAGTCCTTGACTCCTTGTGTGCTTCCAGATGAGGTTTTTATTGCCTCATTTGCCTGCCTCATTCACTAAATTTTACAAAGGGGCCCAGACATCATTGCCTTCCACTCACAACCCTCCCATGTTTTCCCACTCTTTCTCCTTTTTTCTAACTTGAGAAAATTTATTAAGGATACAAGATTTCTACAAAATGACTTCTGTCTTTTGACTGGGATCTCCCATTGAGAAGCACCCCTTGAACCCAAGTAAGATAAAGTCAAAATTCCTGTTACTGCATTGGCTCACTTTCCCTCTTCTATCTTCCATTCCTTCCTCCTAGCTGCTTGTATTTTTGCTTTTCCCCTCCTTTCCTTCTGATTCTTTTCTATCTCATATAGATTGTGTTTCTTTGGAATTTATCATGCCCTCCTAATTATCAACACATGGAGTACAATCCACATTTTACTGAAGTATCCAGGAAAATTGACAGAACTGCACCCAAAAATAGACCATAATTTCCAGGTTCTTCTGGTCCAGATTACTCAGAAGAAATGCATCCTATGAGAGTAACTTACTTATAAGTAGACTGGGATAACTTACTTATCCCAGTTATCTCAGGCAGCATACTGTACATGGAAGTAAAACTCATTATGTCTGTGCTGTTTTTCATAGGTTCTTCCCAAGCAAATAGCTAGGACAAGCAATGAGACACTGGAAGAGCTCATTCAGCTTGGATGTTTCTGTAATAACTAGAATATATAACTAGAATTAATGACTAGAATACTGTAATCTTGTCTGAAACTGTTGTGAGTATAATGGGATATTCCAGAATTGGTGGTTTTATGGATTGCAACCATAGATACAGTTTCCTCAGCATTGGCAAAACCTTATTGAACATTCCCTGCATCTTGTTGCCCTTATTGCTGGAAATGCCTTGGATGTTTCAGGCACTGAAGTTGGTAAAATGGAAATTAACTAAAGTAATCAAGCACCATCAACATTAAAAGTTCAAAGATTTTAATATGTGGTATATTTAAAAAAAATTCTTCTGAAAGAATCAGATGTAAAGTTTCTAATCAGCAGGTTCTCCTTTTACTTAGCTGGGATTGTTTTAATAAACCTTGTTCCTACTGTCCACTGAAACATCGATTTATCCAGGTTTGGAAGAGGTCTGCAGAGAATGGTGATTGTGGTATTTGAACTACATTTGTAGTGGGGGAGGTCGGTCAGCATTACCTTTGGCCTATGGCTCAGAATGGTTAGCAACACTCTGTGTGACAGTTTGAGCTAATATGTTTCATTCTTAATGCTGCTCATCCCTAATACATTCTGCTACATCCTAGATGCATTTTGAATGCCTCAGGATTACATTTCTAATGTAAATGTATATGATCTAGCTAGTCAAAGTGTTAGGCTCTATCTTTCCAAACAAAACCCATTTTCTTTCATTATTGAAAATGTAAGGTGTGTTCACTAGGAGTCTGCCTGGAGAGAGTATATGCTCTATTAATGGAGGTTTATAGAGGCTTTTGCCATTCCTATGGTAACCCAGTAGAAAGGCTGTTACCATGGGGATTAGCCAAGCCTATGTAAACCTTCAGTCTTCATTAGAGTATCTCTGAGAGTGAATGCTTTAACAATTAGCATTCTAGAATGGCTAACAATAATCTCTGCTTTGGGGAAGGATCTGTTCCTTCTTCCTGCTGGAGATGGATTGATCTTGCCAGCTTTTCAAAGATGAAATTTTCAGCAACCTTCATGTTTAATTGTCCTAGAATGTAGCTTCCCAAACCATAGGTACAGTAGATGATGTGATCAGTGGCAAAAGAGGCTGCCCACTCAAAGAAGCATGCATTCCAAACAGATACTGAATATGAAGCTGTTGAATGAAAAGCATTCCTGTGAGAAAAGATGGTTTCCAATAGTCCTGTACCAATCCCTGATAAATCCAGAATAATACTGGATAAAGGCCAATTATGCCAATAAAGCCATGGCTGATGGAAAGCACTAATTAAATAAAAATGTCCCCAGCAGGGGACACCATATAGTCAGTATCTGCCTTAGATCAACAGGCAGAGAGGGAGCCAGTACATTAACGCTGTACTCCAAGTGGACTCCAAGCAGATCAGAGGTCCATATGGGAGCAGCAGGAGTGCATCATCTCAGGACCTCAGTGAATGGGAAGACTAGTAGAGGAAAAGATGGTCTCTCAGATATCCTGGCCCCAAGTAGTTTGGGGCTTTACCAAGTTGTTTACCAAAACTGAGGCTCATTTCCCTCTTGAATGTGCATAAATGGCATGTCCTCTATAGCTCCTTACAGAGCAATCCTACTAAGAAATAAGCCCTACTAACTTAAATAGGGTTTACTCCCAGATAAGTACATGTGCCTGGGACTGCCGCCTTAGAGGATTCTGTTCTAGGAGTTTACTATAACAGATTCCCAGCAAAAGCCTATCTGTCATGCCAGACACAGAACCAGGTCAGTCAGGCCCCTGATCTCTGGTTTACACTTACATACAATGTCCCTCTGCCTATTGGCTAATTCTCTAGTCATCTAAGGCCTTAACATGATGACCCCAGATTCATTTATTCATTATAGTTCATCACTGGAATCAAAAAGATGTTCTTGACTTGCCTGGTGGTGCTAAAATTAGCAGAGAAAAGTGCATAAGATCCTAGCAGTACATCATCCTGGATTTGTGGATGGTTGATATATATGGCCTGAAAGCATTTAGTGAAGGAGAAGGATGAAGGACTGGTTCTGTGTTCTTATTTTTCAGGATGATGACATTTGTTTTTCAAGATGATTCAATTAGGAAGTATGTCAGCAAAAAGCTTTAATCTCATTAAACAAAAGCCCCTTTGCTTTTTATTGGCTGCCTACTGGCAGTTTCTAAAGACATGCCTTCTTCCCATCTTCTCCGCTGCAAGGGATATGTCAGAACAAATCTCACAGTAACAAGTTGCATTAACTGCTTGACGTGGCTCTTCGCACGGACGTCAAGTGGAGTTGTTTAATTAGTGTTTGAGACATGAAGTGATACAGTTCTCCTCAAAAACTATTATGGTTTGTTGACCTTTTTACATAAAACTCCAAATAAAGCTGCATGTTGCTTGAAACATAACAAAACAGATTGCTTCAATATACACAACAAAGGCGGTCCAAGGAGCTCCGTGCAAATAAGCATCTATTGCTTTCAGGGTTGGGAACTGAAGGCATAAGTGAGCTATGCATTCAATTACACATCAGAATGTGCATCCAAGTAAGGATGCAATTGGTCCACATTGTATTGCTTTGGAGTAGCTATGCATTTTGATGTGTAATCCCTATTCAAGTTCTTGTACCACTAGTTCCACTTTAAAACATGTTATTCATTTATTACATTACACTTTGCTTGTACGAGATTGGATTGAGAGAAATGAGATGAAAATACTGCACAAGCCCCATACATGAAAGAAGCAAATGAAGTTTCTTCAGTCTCTGTCTTTGTATGTCTTATCACCCAAGAGAGATCTTTCATATAGATACCTTGCAGATCAGGTGGAGCTATTGCTTTTTATTCCTTAGATGAGTGAATGGTGTATCAGAAAGCTTTAGGTAAGGCAACATCAATACTTCTCCCCACAGAAAGGAGAACTACTAGTGTGTTCACAGAGTTGTGCAGCAAGAACTATACTGCCAACTATACTATCATTTGTTCATAGTTTGTTACTGAATGCCCAAGAAAAAAATCCAAATATATATTCTAAATACAACTCTATGCTGACCTAGTTAGACATATAGGGCTTTTCAATATGAGGCTTTGACTGTCCACTTCTAATTCTGGATTCTTTCCAAGAACTCTTTAAGATTAGCTCCTTTACACATTCCCCCCCCACCCCAGACTTTTCCTTCCTTGACCGTCTAAATGTTCTGTAGCACAACCACAAGATGGAGGTACAATATAGTAGAATTGTGAAAACACAGGAGTGTCTTATTCCAGTTGAATAGTACACATCTTTCAATTTACAAAAAGTGGTGGAAATGCTTGGAGAGCACAGGTGAAGCCCTGGAGGATGACTACCTCATGTAAAGCATTTGTGAACTAGCATAAGTAGTACAATCACAGGGACACAATGCATGTCTTGTGCGGAAAGGCTCACAGACTAGGAATTATCTTAATCTGGCACTTCTGTAGATATTTCTAGAACTGGTTTAACTTTCTTGCATGCAACAACAATCCAGGTAGAAATAAGCTAGAAAAAACTGTCAGGGTATCATTTGATTTATTTATTATATTTATAATCCTCCCTTTTTTCTAGCAAGAAACCCGATGCAACTTACATAGTTCTCCTTCTCCTCCCCATTATATCCTCACAACAACCCAGTGAGGTTGAAGCTGAGTGACTGGCTCTAAGTCACCCAGTGAGGATCATGGCTGAGTGGAGACTAGAACTTGGATCTCCTGCATTCCAGTCTAGTACTCTAACTACCATGCCACACAGGGTCTCTTCAGTTCACCATGCATGAGTGGAAGTGCTTTACTCAATATAACCCTTCACCTTTTTAATAAGTGTTGTAACATGTATGTACAGGTTATGGAGTACAAGTTCTTCAGCTTAGGTTCCAGGAAACCCTAGGGTTTGCTGAAAGCTATTGACAGTTCTCAGGAATGAGGTCAAAACAACTTCCCTGGAAATTAGCTTGCCTACAGCTTCCTATCTTACCCTGCAATGTGTCACAATGAAGAAACATTGTGCATGTTCTAAGACAGAGATGGGCAGAAAGTAAACCTCCAGATATTTGCTATTTGAACTCCTGAAGTTGAAGTCCTTGCCAGCACAGCTAATGGTCAGGAATGTGTGTAACTAAGTCCAAAACATTTGGTGATCTACTTTCTGGCCATGCTGCAACTGAGCTTAAGCCTAAAATTACCCCAGAATCCTCTGCAATGTCTATAGTTTCTTAGCACATGTGAAAAAGGTTCCTTGTAGGTAGGAAGTATGAAAATGTCTCCGCTAAAGGGAGAGCTAAGATTGCTGCCATTAATTTACAGCTGACAACAGGGACTGATGCTTCATGCAAACCAGAGATGACAATTATTTTGCTTCAAGTAACTTCTTAATCAGTGTTGTCCACTTAAACACATTCTATTTATCTTTCCAGTCAAAGTTAAGTTAAACTATTTGTTACTGAGGCACAAATAAAAACATTCTAAAATATGATGGTCATTTTTCTTTGCCTTATACAGCCAGTTACTTTCATTTATGCTTGGGCTTCAGCAGAATGTTCATCAATTTAAAAAAGAAAAGTCATCAAGATTGGTTTTGTTTCAGAGAAATTACCTGACATATGTTCTCTCAATAGAATGATCTTATAGATATGCCTATTTAGAAGTAGATCCCATTGAGTTCAGTGTGACTTACACCCAGGTTACTGGGTACAGGAATGCCTCCTAAGGCTCACTGAAATAAATGGAATTTAAACACTGGACACTTTCTTTCAATTATTAAGCATAAGTTAACTTCATTCTGTCAGAACTATAGTGGAAATTAGTCATACAGAAATGCCTTACAATCCAGCGGGATGAAAAATGAGCTTTGTGGCAGCAGTTACAATGGTAACTATTACTCAGGCAACATGTCAGGATTTGGGTATTTTAATGAAAAGAAGAGCTCGAGATTATACAGAGACATGGAGAAAAAGTATTCAAGGTAGCCGGCAAGCAAATGCATCTGTATGTTGGGCTAAAATTGGAGTGGACTGGAGAAATGACGGCAAGCTGAGTTCTCCACTTACGAGGGAGCCATGATTTGTGGGGGCCACCAATTAAGGGAGGTAATTCTGGCAAGGAGCAGCTGTTCCTCCACAAGGCCAGCAACTTCCCAGTGCTGAGCCAACTGCCACTTTGATGGGCTTGATATAGTCAGGGTCAAAGGAGTGGGCCTAGCAGAGTGAGAGCTTGCTCCTCCATTCTCCTTCTAGTTTATCCTGAGACCCCTAAAAACAGGCTTCTATGACAGCTGCAGCACTGCTATCACTGACTCCCTCACCCTGAGGAGCCCTGTGTCTTGCAGTGGCAAAAGTCTTTGCCAGTTAAAGCAGCTGGGAGGAAACTTTATCTGCATAACAAATGCTAAAGGCAGTCCAGGGTGTTTTTGTCTTTTCCAATGCAGGATTACCGTATTTTTCTGTGTATAAGATGATACTTTTTCTTTAAATATTTACCTAAAAATGGAGGAGTGTCTTATACACG